CAATGTTCATCCGTCACGTTATTTCAAAAGTGGCATTTATTCGGCAAATAAAGGAAATGTGAGCTTAAAAATAACGAGTAAGGGTATTGTGAAATGTCAAAAGGCGTCCTCGGCGATTCTGCCAATCAGTCAAGGATTAATTAAGTAATTAATTTAATATGTAGCCAATTTGTTTCGTCGAAACGTGGAATTGATCGACACAGAAAGAAGTCTGTTTGATAATAATTAGTTAGCTAATTGCGATTCTTTTAAGAATAACGAATTTTGTGATTGCTTAATGGTTTGAGTTTTTGTGTAACTTTGTGTTTTTCTTTACTTTTCAGTAATCTTTTTTCACCAGAAAGCAAACTGTGTACCAATTAAATACCTCTACGTAAATGTTTAATTGTTTGTTCAGCTTTTCTCAAACACCGAGATTTAAAAAAATAAAGATTTACGACTTTTACAGCAAATATAAAGTCAACAGACTTTTGCCATAAATGAGAAAAAAAAAAACAATATGAAGTAGACTTTATTGAAATTAAAGTAAACGGTTTCATTGTTTAACTGGAAGGAACTTTCAAGATATAAAATTTACTAAACACCATAAATCAATACATCGCATACACAAAGTTGACTAATAAAATTGAATGCTGTATATCAAAACTTTCATGTGAAGTTATTTTGCTCTAGATTCGGAGGACAATAAATTTTACGTGTAGTAAACAGTAAATTGTTAGTCTACACACGAAATAAAACAAACAAATTTCAGATAACACTTTTAGTCAACTAGTTGGGTTCAGAATAAAACGACAAAAAACATTATTGAAATTTTTTATCAAGTACAAAAACGTTTTTAATTTTTTTCAAGTTTTATTGTGAGTAGCTTTTACAAAAACAATTATTCTAACAATTAACTTCTTGAAGATGCTTTTCTGGTCGTAACTAATTTTATTGGTTCGAGATCTGAGCTTGCTGTTGAGAATTATTTCATTATTTAACCATGACTTGTACAACTGTTTGTTTGCATGACCTCAGAAATGTCACATGGTCATAAAATCGTTAAACCATCGATGATTAAATTTAATGTAATTATTTACCTTTATTTTTGCTTTGATGTACTTCCTTTTCGCCTTGTTGCTTATTCACGAGTCCTGAGTAGGACTCCTAACTTCAAATTTGCTGTACTTGGGATGTTGCCTTCGGATTTTACGATGAACTAACATTTCTTTCATTCCTAATTATAGTAATTAATATCCTAAGTGGTTCAGTTACAATTTAATCGGTAGCTTTTTTTTTCTCATTTGTTAACTCATAGCTTTTTGATGAACTTGAAGTTGTTATTCATTCAAAAACAATGAATAGAACTGTTCCCTCGACAAGAATATTTTTTTGAAATTCGAAACGTCTTAAATCACAACCTCGAGAAAGATTAAACCAGTCATCTTTAACAGGATTATCCGTCAGACTTGCAACACCTCGAGAAATCAAATACAGAAAGAAGTATCCATCTCGGCGTATAATATCTAATTCCAGCTGTTGGGCGTTTCAATTGTAAAACGGCTCGAACCGAGACGTCGACTACGAGAATTCAAATAAAACTTTTAATAGTTTATTTATCTGTGAAAATGTAGCGTTTCTCCAAGGTGCCGTTAAGGTGCCTTCCTTGATACACGTCTTCGTAAGGATATCAGGCGAATGGCTCCCTGGGAGCCTGGACTCCGGCCGGACCGAGCAGATATCTACCGCAGAACCGGATCAATTACCAGGTAGCGAGAAAGCACATAACTGACCAGAGTCGATCTCTTCACGCTCGAATCTCCGAAGACCCACGGTCTATAGTTCCACGGATACGAGCCATCCGGATGGATAATTGATACATTTGCATCGAGAGGAGCCAGACAATGCAATTCGGCGCAGCCACATTTCAATCTTAAAATGTCAATTTGGTGTTAATAACGAGCTTGTATATCATGTGTGATTATAAGCCACCAAAGTTTGTGGATAATTGTGTGTAATTTCCCTAAATTATTGTATATTGTTAATATTTGAACTTTTATTATTATTATTACGTGATGTAATTACATTAAATTCATCCCGTAAATTGCTCCGTTCTCTGTATCGATTCGCCTGCAGCTGGAGACGACTAAATATCCAACGTCGCGCACTTAATTGCCAAAATTTTATTAACAACTTACGTACAACGGTAGTTAGACACCTAGTGCTGCCATTGCGCACGCTGTCGAATTATAAAGTTTTTGTAACATAATATTGTGTTTCGCTGAAAACCTTAACTAAGTAATGGGTATAACAGCCTTAACGCGGTAACAATTTATTTACTCCTATCGGTTTTTAAATCAAGATTGCTGCAACTTACTTCCTGATTTACCCTTTTAGTCTAAACAAGTTATTAACGTTTCGTGTTAAATAAGTTTAAAATTGCGATACTGCTGTTAACGAACTCGGGCTCGATAGTTCCACGTACACGGCACCATTCACATGTATAATTGATACATTTGCATCCCTAGAAGCAAGACAATCCAATTAGTCCGGACGCGAAGCGCCACCGTCCACACAATAAACTCGGTGGAAGATGATCATCGGGGTTGAATTAACGATCACGCTGTATGGATGGGACGATTCGGCCGGTTAATTAACACATTTACATCCATTGAATCAATTACCTGACTAATAACGGCGGTGCACAATGTAAACATACAGCACTTATCGGGAATTAATTAAATAGGATAGTTCGGAGCGGCACGCCACTGGCGGAACCGTTGTCATTCGTGAAATTGTCCAATTAAGGGTGAAAATGGCGAAAGTTTTTGGATACGACTATAATAACGGCACGTCAAAGTGGCGGAAGTGTGAAGTTTATGTCTTCTAAACATGTTACGAACGTCACATACATTACTACGAAACGCGACATTTATAAATCTTAATAATTTAAATTTTCTTATCTGATTTTGCCTACAAGCACACCGTTTCATTACTAAATAACTTGTTGTGGTAATTAGCACGTGTTTAAGTGAAACAAATCTTTTGCGATATTTTCATACTGATTGCGGAGAAATTTTTACATTACACGGAAGGCTGTAAACAGTGGCACCCCGGAATGGAAACGCAGCTTCGGGGTTAATACTGGAGTCGAGTAACAGCAACGTTTCGGCTGAATAAAATTTATAAAGAACTCTTTAGACAAGATAATACCATTTAGCTACATCTTTCCATTTTTAGGTATTGTTCTCTTTTACGTTTCAAATATTATTTCAATGTTATTATTACTTCCGTATTTTTTTTTTGTTGTTCATTATTCCCGATTTTTTGCTAAGATTTGTCTTGCTCGAAAATTTTAAATATCTTCTTAGTAAGGTTAAATTAATTCTTACGCGAGAACCCACCGAAAATGAGGTCATTTACTCCAATTGAAAATGCAATATGCGATCCAACATTATTCCAGATTTTATTTTTAATATAAATGTATGGAATTGTGTATTTAATATTACATTTGCCGATGTATGATAATCGGCTTTCCACTATTAGTACATTTTAATAATTAATAATTTATGAGGACAATTAGCATTAATGACAATATGTTATTAGCACTTAATAAATTTAGATGGAATATTTAATTGGCAAAATTGTTACTTTTTAACGGGAACAATAACCTTACGAATATTTTTTTATCATCTAATTTTGACACTTGTAAACACTGTTAAATATGACCTATTAACTGAACATCTGCTTTTATAAATATGCATTCTATGAAAATAGCATGTTTCAGGTAGTAATATCGGAAGTTCCTAATTAGTAATAAATTGTAATTGTAATAACAGTTCATTATGGAATAAAACGGTACATGTAATAGTGTTATTATTCTCATATATATAGAGACACAAGAATACTTGACATGTAGGAAGCGACGAAATAACCGTTTTTCAGGAATGCAGTGTGTAAACACTAAGATTATCGTGTTTCAAAGTGTATTTTAAATGTGTTGGATATAGGGTTCCACAATTATTAATGTACCCGCCAGTTTGACCTAGAAACCGAAAAAATCGCTTAGTATAGTCAAAACGTTATTTTTGTATCCACTTTAAAAGAATAAAGATCTAAATTTCGCTGTGCCGTCAAAATTTGTTGCTGTTTATTTTCTCTTAATTAAGTCATGAGTCATTTTACAGTTTAAAATTAAAATTGTAAGTTTTTACACTTACGAGTTGTAAATTATAGGAATATTATATTAATTTTTTTTTTTTGGTTTTACCTTTATTTGATTTTATAGTACCGCTACTGATTAACGTTGAAAGGTCAAATCCAAGATTTGACAATATTCTTTCAGTCACGTCTGACAACCGTGTCCTCACAATTTATGAGAGTTCATATTGTTACGAAAGAAACCCATACGCTGCCCCGGTACGACGCCTATGGGTTTCTATGTGCAGCGATGATGGGTGACTCATCAGCGGTGACGGCGACCGGGCATAAAGACAAGTCTGGAGCGGGTTACCGGAAGTCTCTATTACGGAGCTCAGAAAAACCTCGAAGCGGCATTCGCGATCCATCCGTACGATTTTAAATAGAGACCACCGGCGGAAACGAGGATTATTCAGCCAACGAGTCGAGTCCACCGAGTTTTGTTGTAAACTTGTCAGTCGGTAATTGAGAAGATGTTTTTCACTTATTTTCGTAACTCTGAAACCAATTCAACCTAACCTTTAGTCGTTTATTTTACATACTTACAACATTCTGTTCAGAATTAGTTTTTGGTGAAGGGAAATCGAAATTACGGATTCATTGCGGACTAAAATTAACTTCTTAAGAGCATTGGTTTTAAGTTATTTAACTCTGAATACTCCTATAGCATTTTCATTGTTTCCAAATCTGCACGTTTTTGAGGCAGTGCTTACATTCTCTTGACTAACTATTGAAAAAATTGGCCAAAGCTGTAATTCCCGATAAAAATTAAGTCTACGACCAGAGTAATTCAATACTTTAATGTCTTTTTATTGTTTCAGATCGAAGATGCAATGCTTATGTTCGATAAGCAAACAAATCGACATAGGGGTAAGTCCACGATTCCATAAACGTAGTTTTAATAAAATTAACCCGAACCGTACACCGCACCAGAATCGATGGCTGTTTTCGAGCATTAACGGAAATCAACAGTCGCGACTCGAAACTGGAAAACAAATAAATACAATTTGCAATTTGGAGGAAAGTTCGTGAAAGTTTGGGAGAGGCAAGGTGAAGTGATTCCGGCTAATGCCGGCGAAGATGCGGCAAAGTTGGTCGACAAACTTGGCCATTTCCCGTCGTCTTCGAGCTATACACACGAAAACGTCACGGTGATCACCTCCGACGTAAATGTTATCTAACATTGCAAGGATCGTTTCAATTATTGAAATGCATTCTTCCAACTTTTATCCGACGGAGTCTCGCGAGTTATGAGGGCCTCGCTCTCCCCCTTTCGCCATCAAAATCCGACTGGAGATATGAAATTGGCGTTCTGCCGCATCCGACATGACATTTTATTTTGTTTAGCATTGTTTTCGGTTTTTATACAGCCTGTCGGGTACGAACAAAGGGGTGCAGTAAATGCGCGCCGCGGACTGACCCCGCATCGGAAAAAATCCGGGAGAGCGGATCTTAGAAAGTCGGATGCTGCAACCAACATTATATCGTTACATCGTGGGTTGCGGTTGAACAAAATTTTTGGTTAGAGTTTCGTGGTGCGATAAACAACTAGATCATTTATGGAAATTAAAAATAAAACGGTGGCAGAAGTGGAACTCGGTGTGACACCTATTTTTCAACCGAATAACACATTTAACTGCATAGATATACTTCCCTTTGCAAAAATTAGTGAAGGGTAGCTGATCAGATTAGTTAAATTAGACATTTGATATTCCTTAAAGCAATATCCGTTGAGACGTTATAGTAGCCAGGTTAGAAATCAAATCAGATTAAGTCGGATCAGGATAAGCTTTCAGTAATTCATGGATCGTACCTAACATCAGTTAATGGAGATATTCTGATAAGGGTAACTTACGTTTTTTTTTTTTGGAAAGGGTAACGGTTCAGTTTGCAATGTAATGGTGCCTAAGGTTTCTATAAGTATTTCTAGAGTCGAAATGTTTCGCCATTCATTTTCCATGTGGTTTTCATTCATAAATTGTCTGAAGTCATCGATCACCTTGAATTCTTAAAACGTGGCCAAACTATTTTAGTCCTCTCTTTGAAGTTGTGTCTAGTATGGTTTCCTCCTTTTCTTTCTTACCTCTTCATTTCTTGTCCTGTCGGGTTTAGACGTTTGGGTCTACTGAGGAGAGGTTGGTCGTCTATATTCAACCCCATTCCTTCGATATTTCTCCGTCCCTATTTTAAAGTACCTTTGCTTCCAGAAATAAGTTCAATCGAAGAACAAACAAAAAGTACTTTTAGAACTTTACAAAAAGAAAAAGTTACGGTTGTTCGTGGTCACGTTTTTGGCAAAGCAGACGAAGATTGTGTTTGCGGTAATGAAAGAATATCATGTTTAGTTTATTATTCGAGGCCTGAGGGTGGAGGATCGTTGATTAAGTGTTGAAGACCGTTCCGCTCAAGGTGTGCTCATTTATTGATGGATTGTGCGCGCAAAAGTTGAAATTTCGCCAGCAACAAACTATTTTTAATGTTTATTAATTAATCACGCGGCGCGAAGCCGAAAGATCCGATCATTTATCAAGCGCTCTTGTCGTCCATAAAACCTGTTTTTATTAACAATCCGATATTTCCGTTGATTGGATCAGAGTTGGGCGCGGGTTGGGAGGAGAAAAAAGGAGATGAGGGCGAAGACGGTTCAGAGGGGATAATATGTATAAGAGAGCAAGATAATTTAACTTCCAGCTAGATAGAAACTGAGAATTTAACTCGGATGAATGAAGAGGATAAGTAGAACAGCAGGGGATAAAGCCCCGGATCAACCGGACTGGTCAAAGTTGCTGCTCTCTATTTCAATCTACAATTCCGCTTCCAAGATATATTGCCGGATTATGGATGGGTGGCGATTGTAATTTTTTATTTCACTTGACCCGCTAAATGTGCGCGTTCCCCGTGCGAACAGCAAAAACTTTTTCGGTAGACACGCAAGCCGTAAATTCCGCATATATGACAGCTTGTTACGGGTATTTTCGGAGGGCCATTTCGATGAAGAGTGGTCCCGTTACGGACCATTTTTCTCACTCGATTTCCATAATTAGTCGGTCAGTCGAAATGTTTACGTTTTCATCAAGGAGGAGCTAATTTGCGAAAGTGGCCAGGATTTGTTGCGCTTAAAAATTCACGACTCGTTGCCCCTTTATTCGTTCGGAGTGGCTCTCACCCTCTAATGATAGGATATTAGAGTGTGTATAATATCAGGTGGACGGGAGGAGGGCATTAAAGCGATTACCGACGACGCTAATGTGGCGCAGGGTGTAATTAAATCGCAACGACGCTGCCGCCATCTAGTGCGGTAAAGACGGTTGACGTTCCCTCTTCGAATTTTAACGCATACATACACATTAGAGAATGGCCGACGAACGACCGATTCTGCACACCGCAATATCAGTGAAATACGGTTCCTGGTCGACCGGAAGTGGGATAGATATCCACATCCATTACACAACAGATAACAATGGGCCGGTTTAATTCACTTTTGTCCCCGGTTAAACAGTTTCCTTTGTTCGGATTATATTTACGTGTATTTGCTCGATTTATGTACGTCGCCTTAAACGCCTAGTTCCTACTCGATGGCGACGGCGTTTATCTTTTTATTAGTGCTAATGGACGGCTGCCTTCAACATTTTTTCCTTACTCCATCATTCATACCCACTAATCCAATTTTCGCGGGGACGCCATTCACAATCCAAGGATCCCTTCTTGGATTTTCGTACGTTAATGATTAGTGCACGATCTTTGCTACTTCTTTCGCAAGATTTTGTTTCTTGGCTTTTGATTCTGTATCTCTAATATCGTTGACGTTCTATCTAAATAATCGTCTTCTTTAAGTTTGTATCACCTCTTCAGTTTCTCTAACTTTTTGGGGGTATTCACTTCAACGCCGTTAACCATCTATCATCTCTCAATCTGTTCATATTTTGTATTGTGTAATTATCATGTATGTAGACTAGAACAACTCGTCTGGAGTTTCTTTTTTGGAAGAGGAACCCAATTTTATAGAGTCGTACACGAAGTCCTTTTCCCCCTTGTATGCTACTCCCATTGTATCTGGTCTTACTAGAGATTCATGTGCTTTTGATAAAGCTAAGATGCATTCCGAATCTATGTGATTCCAAAACTTGGAACTTCTTTTCTGCTCCCAGTGAGCGCTGGACAGGCGTCTCATCATCCTCCAAGCATCTTCTGTGTTCATTCCTTTTCTCTATATGTTTACTTTTTATGTATGTTTCTCCACTGTTCTTGTATCTCTCATGTGGTTTTCACATGTTCGTCTTGTGTAAGAGGACAAGTATGAGTGAGATGCTAAGCGCATTCATTCGACCACTCTTGTCATGTTTATGTAGCTTTATTTTTCTTACGAGTTTAAGGTGAGCACACAAGACAGGAGTCAGCTATATCGCTTGGAAAGTAAAAAAAAAAAGTCGAATCCCAAAAAGTAATTTGGCGGCTTTTACACCATATTCCATATGCGCATATTTTAGTAGCTTTTTGTGAACATAAAAATCCGCCCGCCTCTGTGATAAAAATTAAACAAAAATCCGCCTAAATGTGACCTAATATATTATTTGTGACCTCAGCGAGTGAAATTTGTTTTTTAAACCAAGACCCATCACCGATATTACGCCCAACAAAGGGCGTCGTTTTTTGTTCGTGATCCGGTGCGTAAAGCAAGTAGATTTTACAAAGGATTGTTTTCTAACGCATTCAATCCAAATAAAGTGTTCCGGCCTCTGGGGATATTTAATGGCTGAAAAGGTTTTAGTATGTTTGGTTTAAATTTACCTCGCTTGTGCGTATTAATACGGCCTAATGTAATTATTTGGTTATTATCAAATCCGCTGAGAACGAATCTGTTTTAGACCAACAAAACAACCGCGTTCTACTAAATTTGTTTGTTCAAGGTATACCGAACTTGATAGATATAGATGTCCGCTTGGAAAACAACTCCGAATAGATTTATTGACGCTAGTTGGTAGCTAAAACTGAACGAAATATGCTGACATGATAAAACAATTGCCAAATTATCTCCTGTCTCTCTTTCTTTCCACCTCACATATCTGCACACTTTCACGAATATTAATGGAAGGAAATAACTAAGTTCTGGAAAGCACGCGAAGCTCCTAAATACGTTGTTCATTAATTTTACTGTCCAGGACAAGAATTGTAACACGCACGCCGCGTCACCGAATGTAAACAAAAATTTGTTTAAATTTCTCGACGATTATGGCGTGAATGATGATTGCCAATGGACGGGCTCGGCCCTAGACTCGTTAAAAACTAGTTCGCCACAAACGTAATCATTATTGTAATTGTTTCGTTTAGTTTAATGCTCCCAGTTTTAGAAAACACCCTCGCAACTGCGTTGCTTACCTTCCAATCTTTCTGAAAGTGAATACAGGCAAGGTTTCCCCGGCTTACAAAAATAATGTTGAAAGCAATCTGGGGTGCCGTTATACACCGGCCCGAATTTTTATTTGGTTATTTATTCATCCGTGAAATTATACACTCCGTACAGAGGCCGTTTAAAAGAGAACAAACTGTCGCGTAAATAAATAACGGGATGGAAGTGAATAACAAAAAAGACGAAAACATAACCCATTATATCGAAGGAGCTTCAATAATACAAATTTAATTTTCTGGAAACAATAGCATCACGGAACTTGTTCCACACAAAATGTTCAATATTTCAGGGCCAGGCTCCAAATTGCTGAAATCTATTTTTACAGAGGTCACTCCTTGATCGTCTATTTGAATAAATAATTACTGTTAAAATTTAACGATGTCGGAAGGGTAGTGATGGGGAAACTACTGCTTGCCGGGAATAGTGACTGACTGATACCGTGCCGAGGTTGTAAATATTAGCT